TTTTGTTATTTACGATTTTTTTTCTTGTACTTCCTGACTTGTATCTGTTGCTACTAGTACACTAAATTTCATTAATTAATTTACCTTTTATTTCATAGATTATAAAAAAAAAGTTTAAAAAATAAAGAAAATGAGGAAGAAAAAAATCGAGTTGAAATAATAGTTAATTATTCTAAACAAAAATAACAAAATTTAAAAACAAAAAAAAAAGTTCTAAGTCAAGTCTTTCCTCCTAGACTTCTTGTGATTCATAGGTAAGTTACGAAATATAAATTTTACTCGATGTAGTCTAAAATGGTTATTTTATTTGTGATAATAAAAATAATTTAAAAATTAGACAATCTCTTAAAATAGGAAAAAGTGCTAATTTATTTAGTCCACGACGATGAATTGTTGTAAATTTGGTTAACACAATTTTTATTCCTTTTTAGTAACTTTTATTATTACGTTGCCGATGACTAAACTATATAAGCAAACATTGAATTTCATGACCAAGATAAATTCGTATATTTTTAACAGCGTATTTTTGTTTCGGGTTAAGAAGATGTGAAAGCGCGTTTATCTCTGTAACTATAAGAAGGGTGTGTTCGAGGTGTGAAGTGGGAGAGAGGGGATGTCATAATTGTGGTTTTGAATAAGACGACCTTTTGATTTTTCATTTTTTCGTTTTCATATATTGAAAAAGTAATAAGAATAAGAGGTCTTAAGCTTTTTATCATCCTGCGTCGGGCTATTTTTCCGCAAGACCTCCCCTACAGTATCGTCACCGCAGTAGAGTTTAACCACCAAGTTATTAATTATTTTTAAACCTCAACATTGAAATACAAAAGTTAAATTTTTTCTTGAAATATAGTAATTATATTAGTGCCAATATATACAAGTCAGAGTGTACAAGAAGAAAATTGTTAAAAAGAATAAATTAAAACAAATTAAAAATTTCAAAAATTAGACACCATATGTAATGTATGATGCAATTTATTTTAAATGATTATAAAATTTAATGCATTAAAAATTACTATACTCAACAAAATGACTTAGAAAATTTCGTCATTAACCCCAAAGATTCTATTAATTTTGAGAGATTTTGTTATCCAGCATCAATTTTTTTGTTCATGATCTTCATTATTTTTGTTATTTTCTTAAAAAAAAATGTACAATAAAAATGGGTATCTATCGTCACCTCCAGCTGCCAATACCACTATCATCACCTTTGGTCGTCTTAACGGTCATGTAGATGCATTAATTTTCCTCCTTCTGCATAGTACATCGATTTAAATGATAGTCATTGAATTTAAAGTTATTAATTAACTGAGTTTAATGAAAGAAAAATGTCTTTAGTAAGTGAAATAAGATTACCCTCTAAATCAACACTCACGAAATGTAAAAGGATATTTTCTGGGTAAAGAATTTTGAAGAATGGAACGGTAAAAAGAAATTTCGATAACTTGCTAAAAAAGATAAGTGTATCTCCGCAATGATTTCTTTTTCGGCTGCCATGGAGAAGAAGTGGGCAAGGGACAAATGGTGCAGGTAGAGGGAGGACCATTACTTCTTTAAGAATGAAGAAGGAAAAAAATAAAAAAAATACGTAAAATATTTTGTAATTTTTGTGGAATTGAAAAAAGTGGTGGCGACAGAAATGCGGATAGTGATGGAGGGAGAATTGTGTACTGTTGGTGGAGGCAAATTTTTATGTTTGTGGTGATGGTTTGGAATTCTCACAGATTTAGGAAGTGGTGATGGTAATTTTTAAGGGAGAAGAGGAATGGGGCGGTGGTGGTGCGACGGTGGAAAACAAATAGAGGAAGGTGGAGGAAGAAAAGGAAAAGGCTTAGTGTGGAAGCACAAAAAAAAAAAAAAAGGCTTCAGGTGGGAGTAATGGATTAGATTAGAAGATAAATTTCGTAATAGGGACGTTATAATAATTAAATGTTAAGATAAGCGTATATTACCGAATAACAAAACATTAAGAATAAAATGTTAAAATTTTGTCAACAAAATTTTTTACCAAGAAAAAACTTTAGAAAGTAACGGAATATCAGTGGAAATGTTAAATCTAACAAAATTATCATTAACTGAATTAAATTGGCAAAAAATTGAAATTTATGTGATGAATTTGGTTTCCTTAAAATCTTTTGGGTCAAATTGGCTAGACATTTGAAGTTTTGGAAAAAAATTGACCATTTTCTCAATTAATTTTGGAAATTATAGAATGTTATTAACCACATGGTTACATCTTATACCTTCAATTTTGATTGGTTGAAGACAAAACGGGACGGTTCCGTAAAAATAGCCAACGGGACTCTAAATTTTCCCATATTATTATTATAGATTATAGATTATAGATTAGATAGATAGATCCAACCAAAAAAGGTTTTTTTTTTCACTGTTAATTCATCGCCTAATTCATGTCGTTTGAAGTTGAAGCTTCATAAAATACTAGTAGATACTACCATTGGGCATATTTGTAAGGCCAAAGAATAAAACGAAAGATCCAATTATATTCTCAGCATTAAGCCCATTATCACCCAAAAAGCCCGTATGAAAATAAGCAAAACGAAGGAAATAGGAGGAACCAAAGTGGTTGTGGTGAAGTGAATCTCCACACTTAATCATAAATTGAAGGTTCGAACTTCACCATGAACATGGACCAAACCAAGCTTACACTTCTCATCCTAGATTCTGTTTTACGGCATCGGCAAAAGGGCTCTGTTTCCGACAAACCCCAATGCCGTTTTCTCCAAACAGCTTCCCGTGCACAGTTTCCACGATGTCCGCCGCAGCGGCGGCAGCGGGCGGTTACGTAGTAGAGCCATGTTCTAATTCTTTCATTGGTACCACGCTTGAACGAGCTTCAATTGCTCAATCTCACCACTAAGGAAAGAATAGCAATTCCCAACATTAAAATAGAAACATCCTCAGCATCATCGAAGAATATAATATCTTGTCGTTCTTGGTAGGACTGGTCTTATTTCCTGGGATTTGATCCAATCAATAGGAGTATAACTTTTGTCACAGTTTTGACATGTATTTCATCATCACTTTGACTTTCAACAATGCTTCGTCGTCGTCGTCTTGGGATTGGAGGGAAGTTGTTGCTAGTTTACCTCGTTTTCATTCAAGATCTCGGGAAACCATTTATGTAGATGGTGCGATTTTTTTTGGGAACCCTTGGAAAACTTGGATGACGGAAGCAGAAAAAGGGTAGTGCAATATTTCGACGTTTCCGAAGAGTTGTTCAAATTACTTCCGGTCCCAGATGGTTGCAATGGTGGTTCCGAGTTAAGTTGGAGCGATGGCCATCTTTTTCATCACGAATCTCAGTTTATGACACAAGTTGGAGGACGCTGGATCAGTTTGGAGGAGTCGGTGGCGAAATCGAAATTTGTGGATATTGATAACAAACATGATCGATCGATTCTGGATTCGGTCTAAAATTGAGTTGCCAAAACAGTTGGTCGATACCCGCACCAAATTAAACATTGTTGGCAGTACAAACACAGGTAAATAGCAAGTGGCAGAATAAAAGGTTAATGATCAATTCGTTCCAAAAAAACAGTTAATATTATAATTTGTGAATATAATGTTTTTATGGTTTTTGTAAAATAGGAGTGCTATTTTTATCTAAGCATAACAACGTGAGAGGTACTATTTTAAAATGTACTTGCTTTTGTATTATTTTTAGTACAACAAACATAACTATCAGTATAGAGAACATAAGTTAGTTAGGAGTGATAAATTTGAAATGATTGTAAATTGGATAATGGATTAATAAACTCTACTAATGCAGGGAAGGTTCTAGTGGCACCAAAGCAATGCAAGAGGGATAGGGAATCAAGTGATGATGATTTGTTCTTTTGTGATTTGGGAAACAACGATGAGTAGATCAAGTATGAAGCTAAGAAACTGCATTTTGAGAATGAGTTGTTCACTTCTTCCAATGGTGTATGACGCTGCTAGTAGCCATCACATTGAAAATATTGTCCCTCTGAATCTCCTTTACCAACATTAATAAACCATCATCTTAGATTTTTTTTTTCCTTAACAAGGAAGCACGAGAATAAATCTTGCGAAGTATTCTAATGCAGTTGTCTATGGATTATGAGGAATTCGTACTATGGTTATTTTAATATAAATATATTTGTACTATGAATTTCAAAATTTTATATGAACTATTTTTTTTTCGGGAGAAAGGGAGTAATAATAACTCTAGTCATAATATACCGTTTGGTACGAATGCTGTCTTGACGCCCCATCAATTCAACTGCCAGAGGTTTTGTGGTGTATGCTTGTGGTTGTTTTACTTTTCCTCCATTTTTTTGAGGTTAGAGTGGAATTAGTCCCACCAATTTTACCTGCTTATTCTCACTCTAATTGATGGAATTCCATGGGTATATCGTAATTGACTAGTTGGTACCCATAATACATACAACAATCGTTTCATACTTTTATATATACGTGCATTGAATATTTGTGAAAAGAGTAGTAAATTAAATGTATAAAAAAAAATGTAGAATATAATCATTTTGAGACTGCCGAAGTATTATCTTTTTTTGCTACAATTCTTTGTCGCCCATCTTTGAGCATCGCCAAGAGAGCAATTCCAACTTCTGGGCTAGAATTTAGGGGACCAGCTTCCCGGGCGCCGACGACGATGGTGCTTGAACGAATCTCTAGTTACGCGCGATTGAAATTATTCTCATTGTTTTGCTAAACTATGCAACCAGTGTTTTTGAATTGAAACCATTGTTTCGAGCTGAAGAAATACAAGCCGTATTAAAGTCTCGTCTGAAGAAAGTTGAAGGTATCTACTTGTCAAACTTTCAAAGGCATATTTATAAGTAATCAGATTGTCGTAACCTAAAAACCGACATAGACGAACTTGTGAGTTGTAATGTCCAAACTCTAAACTATTTAAGTCCCACGATATCTTGTTGGCCCCAATCTCAATTTCTTCAGACACTTAGAATCAAGTAGTGAAAAAAAACAGGGAAGAAAAGATGGCTCGTAAGATTTATGACCTTATGACAGCAACACAATTAGTACTTGCGCTACTTCTCGTGGCTTCTCTTCAAAATTCCTGTGGGGCTGACCGGAATCCGGCGACTGCGCCTATTATCATCAAAATACGTAATGTAATCCCTTCATCGCTGATATCTGCTCGTTGCGTGAGTGAATCGCAAGACTGGGGAACCAAAATGCTTCCAACTCATGAGAGATATGAGATTACTTCTTACGATGAATTCACTTACATTAATTGTACTTTTGGTTGGGAAGGCAAGACCATGAATTTTAATGTGTTGAATCCAGTTGTGGATAAGGTTTACAGGTACTGGAATGTTCATAAAGACGGGTTTTACGCTCTTTTGGTTCGTGACCGTCTAAAACTTTGGGTCAGGGTGCATGATTGGTGAATTCATTTAGTACTAGGTACTAGACGATCATTATTGATCAAAGATTGTTAATTGATCCTCGCTTTGATTGGCATGATTCTGTTGTCTATTAATAAATATAAAACAAAAGGAAGTGAAGAGATGGCAGAAGTTAGGATCATCATAATTTATTTGGTGTTACTCATCTTTTTCCTTGCTCGCTATTTTAGTCTAACAACCTCAATTACATACTCCACTGATAATGGTCTTTTGAATTGGATAAAATAAGGCCTGTTCTGAATTACCGTAATCTTATAATGCAAACTCGACGTGGAACAATTGTCATACTTACGACATCGAAGACAATGAGTAAAAGCGTACGATTGGTGAATAAAGATTCTACAAGAATCAATCCTATGAGATGAAGTATTGAATGAGGAGAAGGAATTCTTGGAAAACAAGATTTCTGCAAAGAACATCATTTCTGTATTTTTCACAACCGCATTATGGATTCTTTTACATGTATATACACTTTGCTTCTAAAATGAACACCTAATTATTTACAGAAAGAAAGAAAACACTTCTAATCTCATCCATTGATCTATACAACCGACTTAATAAACCAACTCAACCAACGTCCAGGATTCAAGGAACTTTGAAGTCTGCGAATTGCTGACATGGCTTGCCACACCTTCTAGATGGATTGATATGTGCTCCTGAGACACGGTTGACTTCAGGTGCTACTTGATCAACTGCAGAATCCTGAGGCCATGTGTGGGAAGTCGATGCTGCTGCTTCTTATGAAGTCGATGCTGCTGCTGCTTTTGTTGATGAAGAATCCAATAGTGAATTCAATAATGTGATTGAATTTCTCTGGTCTGACATGAAAAAATCTTTCCTTCTGCTTCAGCTGTTTCCCTTCTTCCAGTGAAAGCTTTACTGTGGAGCCGATGTAGATTTAGATCTCAGTATACCCGAGATGCGTCAGTTTCTCCGGTTGAGGTTTTCGTCAAGCAAGATCTGTAATAGTTCTTGAAATGATCATCCGTTGAAGGATCATCATTAATGACAAAGATCAGGCAATCCGACATGAACAAAGTATGTTCTTTTAATTCGGGAAAATTTGTCTCCAGATGATCAGAAAATGATAAAGAGATACAGATCTGCGAGAAGAAAGAGAAGAAAATGATCAACTCATGAGTATGCATGGGTTGCAGCCTTCGTAACTGTTTCAAATATAGTAGTACTACATTTTAAGGGACATTCAATCAAGTTCTGAGATAAGTGATTTGACCCTTAACAAATTTCGACCAAATTTATAGCCAGTTCTTCCCAAGTGTTCTCTTCACGCCATGATTGATCATGTTCGATCCGAGTATCGTATTTTCCTTAGTTTTGTATGTAATTCAATCTGAGAGATTTTTTGTTGGTCGGTTGATATCTTGGAAAACATCCAAAAATACACAGACACGCATCGATGTCATTTTTCTAATAACTTTGCCGCAACCATATCAGCTAGATGGGATTTTTGAACTCATTATATTTCTCCAACTGAAATTTTGGTTAGTTTAAACGGACAAATTTTATGACGTACCGGATCACCCTTGTTAGTTACTTGCTAGTTTCCACTTTGTTGGCGAAACCTAATTCACTCACACAATGTCCATTTTATGTTACATTTCAACTCTTTTGTTTAAACAAACGTCTAATTTTGTTCCAACTCAAACGTCAAAAAGCACTTCAGGAGGGTGTTCCGACTTTGGTAACAACATAATTTATTTAGAATTTTGATAGTAACATATAAAAAAAAGATTAATATTTTTCTTGAAAGCCAAAATTGATTTCTATTTTACAATAATTATAAGTAGAAAATATATTGTTGTCTACGTTAGAGAGTATTTTGCCAAGTCAAAGATTGTCACCCTTTGTGTTGGAGTATGCACATATTAAGAAAATAATATTTGAAAATTTCATTTATGTGTGTAGTACGTCAGTGGCGGAGACGGTGGGGCACGAGCCCCCAAACAAGATTGGTTCTGTAGCATATTATATTATATTTGTACACATTTTAAATAAAAAAAGAATTGATGGAATGTTATGTTTAAGAAACAAATAGACCCACCAAACTAGCCCAAAGTTTATTTCTGTTTCATCAAAAGTTTTGAGGGAAGCCCAAAGTAGATATCCAATATGCATATATCTTCTTTTAAATTAATTATTTGTTTAACCTGTTAACCAAAAACAATTATTTTTTTAACTTAAGAATTATTACATAACGCAAATAAAATTGGTTTCATTAAAATTATGTGATATGTGATACTACAAATAGGGACGGTTACATAATATTCGTCTCATTGCATGTATAGGTTGTAGTTATATTCTTTTGAAGTTGTCAACCCAAAGATACAAAACAACATGAGGAAGTTATAATATTTAGTATTATTTGGAAAGAATGATATTGACTGTATTGATATGCCCTTATTGAATTTCTTTCATAGTTTCGCCACTGTACTATATATATTAACATTAATTATATATATTATTGAGTTTTGAGATTTGTATTAGGAGTTCTATTTTTTAGAGAGGAGTATAAAATCTAAAAACTCATGTAAAAAAAAAAGTAGTTCATTATGAAAAGTGTGGTTGGGGCCATTACCAAGAAAAGGAAAACCAATTGTCTATTGTCTGAGGATTAGCCCATTATCCAAAGCCCGCGTGAAAGTACCCAAACCCAAGTTAATGTAGAGAATTCAGCTCTCGCATAATCTATAAGGATGTAGCCTCGTATTAAACCTCAAGTAAACAAAAGTTAAACGTTAATTTTGCTCGATCGCGAGGGAATCGGCCACTACTAGGTAGAGGAAAATGAAGACAACAAAGGGGGATTCTGGTGACGACCAAGGATCTCTGTCGCAACTCCCAGAGAACGTAACCTTCAATATGTGCGCTTCCAGCAAAAACCCTAATGCGATCATATCCGTCTTAAAATCATGACGCGCCTTGATTCGTGACTCGTATTTCGCAGAAACCCACAACGCTAATTCCCTGACCCAGACCCGGCTACCCTTTTCATCGTACATCCTGTTTTATATCGATAAAAAGGTTATTTGTGCGACAAATTCTGACGCCGTTTTCTCTAAATAGCTTCCTGTATACAATCTCTACGATGTAGGGCCATGTTCAAACATCATCAACGGCCTTGTCATTTTGTGGGTCCCATGCACAAATCAGCTTAAATTGCTCAATCTCACCACTAAGGAAAAGATTGTAGTTCCGGACAATAAATTAAAAACATCCTCAGCATCCCCGAAGAGTGCTACTATATATCTTATTTCTTGGGTTATGATCCTATCAATAAGGACTATAAAGTACCTCACTTTTGTCATACTATCAAAAAGTATTTCGTAATCACACTGAGTTTGAAAAATATGTCATCATCATCATCATGGACATGGAGGGAGATTGTGACAAGTTTACCCCCGCGTGATCTTAGGCATTGGGAGAACATTTGCATAGATGGTGCAATTTGTTGGGATGGCTGGGAATGCAGCGATGGTAGAGGACAAATAGAAAGAGCAGTTCAATATTTCGACCTCTCCGAGGAGGTGTTCAAGTTACGTCCTAGACATGACGATGCTTCTTATGATGACGCTTATGTGATCGGTAATGATTATTGCAACAGCGACGGCGACAACGAATACGTACGGAATGTTCAATTATCAAACTGAGTTTATGACACAAGTTGGTAGCCGATTCGCATTGGCTCGATCAAAATGGAGTCGTCGTGGTGAAATCACATCGTGGATATTGATGGACAAGCACGATCAGTTATGGATTCCGACTAAAATTGAGGTGCCAAAACAGTTGCTCTACTGCCACTATGGCCGCAAGGAGTTTGACATTGTCGGAAGCACAAATACAGGTCAGTGACTAAAACGTTATTACATATAGTTTCGTTTCGTCCCAAAAACTAATGCACTTTGTAAATCTAAAAAATCGTAGGCATAATAAAGTGGACTACTAACGTGGGAGGATGGAATACATATTTTTGGTTACAATTCTCCAATTTGTAACATTATTGAAAAGCAATGACTAATTAGTAAAATGCATGATTACTTCGGAGGGAAGGTTTTAATAACAAGGAAGCCCTGTAAGCGGGATGGAAGATCAAGTGATGCTGCTTTAATCTTTGGTTATTTGGGAGACAATAACGGCGAGAAGAAAAGGTACGAAACTAAACAACTGCATGGCGCATGTCTTCCAATGGCGCCGAATGTTGCTTGTAGCCATCACACATTTAAAACATTCTCCCTTTATTAAATCTTGCTAACAAATCTTATACAGAAAAGCTAGATTTAGGATTTTTTTTTTTTTTTTTGGTGGGGGAGCAAGAGAAGAAATATATCGGGAGGTATCTTAATGTGGGAGGAATATGCTCTGAGAAAATTGTGCTATTAATTTTCTTCTTATGATAATAATAATAATATATAATCATAATCATAATAAGTGTCTTGCCAGGATGATTTTACACGTGTATTTTACATATGTTTCATCGTGAGATGTGTCCCTTTTTTTAATGTGAAAATGTGTCCGTTTTACGTTCCATTGTACATACAGTTTGATTGATCATGTAGAAAGTTGTTATGCTTAGCGAAAATTAAAGACGCGTGAAGGAACCTAGTTTGGTTGAAGCTAAAGTGAAAAATTTCACTAACAAGCACTTTGTTCCGTGATTAAAATTTTCACTATGATTGGAAAGGTGCTAGTCGAGGCAATGGATATAAACACACCAGATGTAACATAAAAACTAAAGGTTAAGAATTTTGGTACATACACTAGTTTCACTTGTAAAAATTACCCAGTATTTTATTGACAAGTTCTCAATGTTTTTCTTTTATTTTATTTTTTTTTCTCACAAGTTCTCAAGGTTTATTATTTCGTAATAGATGAATACAAAGACAACTGATTCCAATGATCAGTTAAGATTCAGAATTAATTTTTAACTACGTACGTACAAAAGTTAACTTGGCTAATTAATAATCCTCTATAAACGGAAATCAAAGATCTTTTTTTTTTTTTTCTTGGGTTAACAAATATCAAATTAGACACCAACGATGGATATTAAAAGATAGGAATCTACTAGTAAAATCCACTATGTAGGAAGAGGCAAGAGCCATGCCATTCAACGCCTTCCGTGTGACGAACAAAATTGAATAGATTCATCTTGAATTTAGTTCTAACACAACAATCCTCAGCCCACAAAAATTTATATATCAACTTTTGTTAAGGCCCAACGTTGGCAATAATAATTGTCCTCTTAGAAATCCTCTGTATGTATGAAAGTGAATAAGTTACGGGGGAAAAAGAGCATTGCAATATTTCGACGTTTCCGAGGAGTTGTTCAAATTACTTCCGGTTCCTAATGATTTTGAAACAGTGACAATCATGATGAGTACAAACCATTCAATAATCAATACGGTTTAAGAACCCTGATGGAATCACAATATCACATTGTGGACATTGATGGACAAGCACAATCCACTCTGCATATTCAATCTAAAATTGAGCAGCCCCAGCATTTATTTTCCTCAGAAATCCATGACCTTCACATTTTTGGCAGTACAAGCACAGGTAAAACGTACTAACACGTTCCGTATATAATCATTTCACCACACTCCAAAAATCTGTGAAATATTTCGAAGAATCATTAGAGCTATTGTATCTAATAATTTGAAAACGTCTTATACATTTAGTCAAACAACCATTTTGAATACTTTTTGTGTATTGCTGGGACTCTTTACGCCCATGGTATAATTCCCCATTCGATTTGATTAGCCAAAAGTTTGTCAAAGCTGGACCCGAACTATATATACTAAAGTTTTTGTTCTTCTAATTTTTGAATCAGTGTTGTTAGTGACTAATAAATTCTACCATTGCAGGGAAGGTTTTAGTGAAGTCATACGAGTATATGGAATTATAGGGACGTTGCTTTGATCTTTTGTGCTTTGGGAGACAACAACAAGAGGAAATATGAAGCCAAGCAACCAGCAGTTCGAGGAGAGATCATCTACTATTAGTACACTTCTTCTAACGGCGTCATCACGTCGAAAACATTCTCCCTTTAAATCATCTCAGCCCAACCTTTTTTCAAAACATGTAACCAAAGTTTCCTGAGAAAAATAATCATGATAACTGAATTTTCAGAACATGTAACCAAAGTTCCCTGACAAAAATAGTCATGATAACTGAGTTTTCAAAACATGTAACCAAAGTTCCCTGACAAAAATTCCAAGTAATTTTGAATTTTAAGTTTCTCCTTTTTTTTATGTCTATATACAAGTTGTTAAAGATATACATTGTTCCACATATCGAGATTCTTACAATATAATCAATAAAGGAGGTGGAGCGATTTCCTACGCAAACTGAAGGTACTATATAACATTGGAATTTCCTACCCAAACTGAAGGTACTATATAACATTGGAATCCATTAGAAAAAAAGAAGTTTCAAATAAGAACCGTAGAATTAACCACAACAAAAAACGACAAAAAAGAAACAGTCGACATAGAGATATGAGTATTAACCACAAGAGAGGTGGAAAAAGAAAAAGTTACCACGGCCATAGTAACTGATCAAAAACAAAATAAGGTCAACAAAAGCCCCTGGACAAAAATTCCAAGCAAGCAATCTCTTTTCTCTCTCATAATGAACACAAAATGAATTGCAGCCAACTAGCTTTGTGCTCTTTCACTTTTTAATATTCTGCAGAAACAGTAAACTAGTATAACATTTAAAATTCTACACTTGCACGAACGAGAATTATCACATACAGCAAACTAAGGTACATGTTCCTACAACATTGGTATTCATTTTAGGCCTACAATGCCTTCAACTGCAAAGTTGTTCACCGGATAACAAGGCTACGAGTAATTCTTACCGCGCCAAACAGAAACTTGCTGTTAAACAATGATGCTAATCTTCAACAGTCATTACAAATGGTAATCATCCTGTTCGAGTCGGATCACGAACACAAACTCATTAGAAGGGGGAACATAAACCTAAAACATGAAATCCTTCTTTTCTTCTTATACTTTAAAATAAAGACTTAAAAAGTAAAATAAACACACAACTCCAAAATCATCCTTTTAATGTGGCATACTCACATTGTGAAGTCATTTTGGCGCGACAGATGAACCATGATGTTGTTCAAAAAATTCCCAAGAACCTGACGTCCCAGCATTCGACGAAGACATTCCAGACTTTAGAATCTTCCCAAGCCATGTTAACTTGTTTGACAGTTCCTCGAAGTCCATAAGTGCTGCCTCTAAGGTGTTCTCTTTGTTGGAATTTAAAGGAACAGATTCCGCGCATGCTTCAATGTTCTTTGGAGACTCACAATTACTCGTTTTAGGGTTCTCCATCACCTTCTCCTCAGCGGGATTTTGATGCATCTCCTCATTTTCAGGATATCCAGGTTGAACAGAAGACAAATCAGTGGCTGAATCTGGTGTTAATCCGATCGAAATCGGAACATCTTTCAGGCCATCTTCACCAACAACAGTATGAATATCCACTGGATATACGAGCCGCGCACATGAAAGAAAGTTTCCATCTTCATCCTCCGAAGTTGGAACCGTCCAACCGGACTCCGGTGACCAGTCCAAAGACGGCCGTAAGTCACTCAAAAGTGCCCGATAAGACTTGCCGAATCCTTCTCCCCTCGGGGGCGGCGGTAACTCGACAATGGCAGCGGCTTCATCGCCGCCAAATATTTGTGTTACTTTTGCGGACCAGTAACAACCCTCTTCAAACCAATCCACGAGATCCCCCACCTTCCAATCACGATCACGAACGAGAATCACTTCCAAAATTGCGTCGATCGGAGGAGCTTCTTCGGCGCTTTGGAAAATCCGCGGATACTGAGGCCGCAGCATCAGTTGCTTCTCCTGATTCTCGGCCCATCCGGGTGGAGGTGTTTGATATAACTCCGTCCATTCTTCCTTCTCGTGGGTATAATCTTTGTAGCTCAACACTTGACCTAAACTACTCCGACCGCGACCGCGACCGCGACCACGACCACGACCACGACCACGAACTGTTTTTCGGCGTATTTCTTTTATCTCGCAACGAAACCAAGCACCTCGAAATCCCACGTCGAAACACCTAAACTCAACCGATTCCCCGACTTTAAAGGGTGTGGCGGAATCTTTGTCCATGGTATCTATATATGCCCTGTCAATTCTCCTCTACAAATCTCTTCTGTCCAGCTTGAGTTCCCAAAAAAAAAAGTAAACCCCTATGAGTGTTGTGAGATCTTGAGAAGGGAAGAAACCGATCTCTTTTACTCAATAATTGCAGGGAAAAGCCCTAGAAGAAGGAGATGGACCTTCTTCTCTATTCTTATACACAAATTTTATGTCAAAAACTTTAAAATACAGAAATACCCCTACAGTGAACACGTCTTTTTCTTCTCTTGATGAAGATAGACAAAGAAGATTTGGCAATTTTGTGTTTCTACCTTCCTCGCTTTATCTCCAAAAAAAGGACGCATATATATTGTACGTTCGCATAACCTTGCCAGATATCCCATTCATGGAGATAGACACTCCACATAAATATCTATTAAAAAAAAAAAGAAAATCAGATTTGCGATTTACTGGTTAAACTGTACAAATTAAATAACAATAAAATTCGTATGGAAAAGGGAAACAAATATAAAAAAAAAATAAAAATCCAGCTTAAACTGACGGAAAACTTATAAATATCAATTGTATTCATTAATTTGGAGGGTGGGGAAGGGGAGACCTTCATGAAAAATCTAAAGAAAATCTTACCCATAATACTGCTGGTAGCAAACACATTGAATACATTCTCCCCTTTAAAATCTTCCTAAACAATCTTAATTAAAAATCATTTTTTTATGGGGTAGCAGGTTAATAAATGTTGGAATACCTCATAATTAATGTGAATAACTTCTGAGGAAATTATATCTCATAATTTTTTTAATATATATATATATATATCCCTTTTACCCTATTAAAGTAGAATACCGGATGTTGATGTGACAACTTCTTATTAAAAATTTTTGGCTCCAAATGTACCATATTACATAAACCATTTTGTCATGTGTCATTCTCTTTCTAAAACAAAAAAATAAAAAAATAAACTTATTTATGGATAAAAAACTTCTAAAACACACTTCCGGATCACATTAAATTCCTACAAATTAGTGAAAATTAAAATTTAAAGCCCTTAGTCAAATTCCTTCCAAACTGTTGAACACTCCCATTTCCACAGAAGGCATCCAAAAAATCGACATATTCAACCATTGCTTCAATTCCCCTTCAAATCTCATAAATAACTCTGACCAAAATTTTGCTTCAAATTCATATCAAAAAGATTTCAAATTAAAAATTTTGCTCCCATGTCTCCAAGCGAACAAAAAACCAAAAGCTTTAATGAAATTTATTGTTGTTATGATCTTTATTGTTGATTTCTCACATTGATTCTTATATTACTTTGATTAGTTTAGAAGATCCTTTTTTTATATAATCAATTAAAAGATCCTAAAATTTAGATGATAATTCAAATAAATATCTTTTCAACCCCATCTAACATTAAATCCACTTATAGATATAACTATTATTTCTATCATTAAACACTATAATAAAAAAATATATATAACCACATACGTATTTCACTTAGATTAGAATTTCCCTTTCCATTTGCAAAAAAATTACTTATAACGGAAGGGGCCGCCCAGGCATCTGCCCGGGCCAAGCATCTAGTATATATATATAGTGAAATGTGGCCCATGTTTTCTTCCACTGTATTGATTCATGTGAAAGTTGTTACTATTTGTTACCAAGTGAAAAGTTTGGTCATGAGCCTACAAGTAATTTATCAACATGTCTACAAAACTGCCTTACTAAAGCCACGGAGTGGAGTCATAAGAGGTTTAAGGTCTTAGATAGAAAAGTTAAAGAGCTTATGACAACATTGCAACATAATTAGATCAAATGGGAGAATGATCTACAAAACTCTGAATAGCAGCAAGCAATAAATGATACCAAAGTTAGAGTTAGAACAAACACTACAACTACAACAACATTATTGGAGTCAGAGAGCAAAAATTAATTGGACAACTCAGGGAAACATCAACACAAAATTCTTTCATAAATGGGCTATCCGAAACAGAGGAAACAAGTGGATTAAAATACAAAATGAGCAGGGAGAGTGGAAGTATGATCCTCCTATCATAAATGAAATAATCCACATGCATTTTTGTTATATCTATATTGATCCGAACCCATTCCCACAACATGCTGATGTTCCAACAATAAGTTTACAAGAAACCTTGACTTGTGTTCACAGTGAGCTCACCTCAGAACAAGTGGAATACCTTAGTCAACCCTTTAACTCCATTGAAGTCCTAGCAGCAGTCAAAGCTATGGCTCCCTGGAAATCGCTGGGTCTTGATGGTGTAACTGCAGGGTTTTATAAAAAATATTGGCAACAAATCAGTACTGGTAACTTCAAGTGTTCTAAAATCATGTCAACAACTAAGCATCTATGATGAATGGAATCAAAAAAATTTAGTCCTCATTCCAAAAGTTCAAATACCGAAGAAAGCTTCATATTTCCGATCAATAGGACTCTGTAATGTAAAGTACGAGATCATAGCAAAGATGATCACTACAAGACTCAAAGTAGTGATGGACTTATTGATAGATGAGCAACAAATGGATTTGTGTCTGGAAGAAATGTTAGTGAAAGTATTCTGATTGAGTATGAACTTATCCAGCATATAAAGAATAAGAAAGGATGCATTGGGCTGGCAGTGGTCAAACTCGACAAGAGCAAGGCCTAAGATAGAGTGTCTTGGGATTTTCTACAGGCGGTTTTAGTCCAGCTACAATTTCCTCCATCTTTAATCATACTTATAATGAGTTGTGTAACCACAGTCTCTTACTCTATTCTATTTAATGGAGAGAGTTCTAGGAAATTCCATCAACGACGTGGATTGAGACAAGGATGCCTGATGTCCCCTTATCTCCTTATCCTATGTCAGTAAGTTTTGCCAGCAACTATTCGCCAAGAAGCGACATCTATTCAAGGATTGGGAAGACATACACCGGTAATAAATCATCTGATGTATGCTGATGATACTATTTTCTTTTTGGAAGTGTCGGCTGATGCAATCAAAGGATTAAACAGAGTCATCCAAACGTATGCAAAGTTCTCTGGACATAGGGTTAATTTTCAGAAATCAAGTATCTTGGTCAGTACCCTCCTGAATGGGAACAATATTTACACCAGTCACTAAATATTCCACAAGGAGCTTCACTTGGTAGATATTTGGGCATTGATCTCAACTTTGCACAACCAAAAAAGAAAATCTTTGAACATTTCTAGAAAAAAATCCGGACAAAATTTTCAGATTGGAAAACAAAATCACTATCATTAATGGGCATGATCACGTTTGCAAAGACTACACTTTTTTCCATGATGATGTATCCTATGGGGGTGTTCAAGATGCCAGTGTCAACACTAGCAAAAGTAGATCAAATCATTGCTCATTTCAGAGGAAATCATACATCAAATTCAAAGCATCTACATTAATCCTCAATTGACAGAACAAGATGACAAGATCATCTGGCAGGAAAAATCTAATGGAAAATATACACTCAAATCTGGATACAACCAAGCCATAAATCTGGCTAACAAAACCCCCCCTGATGTCACAGCAACTACCAAGAATATGTGCCAACAATTATAGAAGGTAAAAGTTCTGACTAAATATAAGCTACCTGGAGAGCTTTGTCTATGGCGCTCCCAACGATGGTCGATCTGGGAAAACGGGGTGTGGATCTTCAACCGACCTGTGCTAGATGCCAACAAGCTGAGGATCGTCTCTTGCTCAGTTGTGAGTTGTGTATTCAGATCTGGAAGTCTTCTTCGCTAAAGAACCATTCTGAGCCTGACCGCCCCCTGTTTCGACCATGGTTGGAAAACTGGCTTGCATCAACACCAACACAGGCTGATTTGTCTTTGGCAGTTCATCATGTTTGGTGGATTTGGATCTCGCGGAATCGGAAAGGAGAACAAATCAACCCAGATCTGGTTTGGAAACTGGCGTTGGAAGATTATCAATTGAACTCGAAAATCTTTGATAAGGTCAGTCAAGAGGAAGTAAATCTGGAAATTGAAGGAGTCAACGTCATTACAACCAATACAAGTGGTTGGAACATACTAGGCAGCAAAGCATTAATTAAGTTTGATGGTTCGTATCGACAGTCAACAGAAAGGGTTAGTGCGGCTTGGAATATAAAATCTTCAACCGGGTCAATTCTACAAAATAAAGCGGTCCAAACACATGTCTTATCCACCTCACAAGCTGAAGCACAGGCATGTAAACTGGCTCTAGAAGCTGTGTTACAATTGGGATTAACATACCGTAGTGCTATGGAAGCGCAATGCTTGTGCGAATTGGACTTTCCCATTGAATCATAGGCTATAGTACGAGAAATTATTTAGTTAAAAAATCAATTTCTTAGGTGTTCTTTAGTTAAGGTAGATAGAAGTCAAGTAGAAGAGGTACATAGGATATTACCAAAAAATATGTATTCATAGCACCCTTTAAATTTTCTTAATATAATATCTTTATCTTTAAAAAAAAAACAAGTTTGGTCAAAGTTAACATGGGAGAATCGCACAAACAAAAGCATGGTCCAATGACAAAATTGCTTGAGCAATTATTTACAAAACATCATTACCTCGCTACTCGGTTTAGTTGGAACACTTAATGGCATGTGTGTAATGTACAAAATGAAAGTGAGCACTCATTTAACGTCCAATAAATTACTTAATCCGATTTAAATAGAACAATTTTACCCCTTTAAACTTTTCTATTTAAAAAAAAAACAAGAAACCAAAAAAATTGGATGGCTTAGAGAAATATCGAACCTTCGACTTCCTAGTAATAACAATCCCCAATCCTAATCCTCTAAACTTAAACTTTGCCCCTCTAAACTTTGAAACTCAAATTCCTTTAAAATTTAAGCAAATTCAAAATCTTTTTCACATCAATTGGAAGCTTGGAAAAATGGAAAATTCACAAAGGAGTAGCAAAAGGCATGACAAAGATACATGTTTTTTTAAAATTTTTTTTTTTCACCAAATCTAGAAGAAAAAGTAAAGAAAGAAATTTAATCTA